CACAGCTAGAAATGTCCTGATGTGGTGTTAAAAAATACCCACTTTTGTCACTACAAACATGGGTAGAAATGTCTCAATGTATTGTTAAGAAATACCTGGTATTGCCACTAGAAACATGGCTGGAAATGTCTTAGTGTGTTGTTAAAAATACCTGGTTTTGTCACCACAAACATGGCTAGAAATGTCCCAGTGTGTTGTTGAGATAATACTTGCTTTTCTCACTACAAACACGGCTAGAAATGTCTCAATGTGTTGATAAAAAATAGCTTGTTCTGTTGCTATAAACATGGCTAGAAATGTCTCAATGTGTTGTTACAAATATCTGGTTTTGTCACTACAAACACGGCTAGAAATGTCCTGATGTGGTGTTAAAAAACACCCACTTTTGTCACTACAAACACAGCTAGAAATGTCCTGACGTGGTGTTAAAAATACCTGGTTTTGTCACTACAAACATGGCTAGAAATGCCCAAGCGTGTCATTATTAAAACCCGCCTTTGTCGTTTTGTTTCTTGAACAGTGGTCTGCTGCTGTCTTCTGCTTGGCAGCCATCTTGTCTTGGTGTCACACCGATGAGAAACTCAGCTCATATACAAATATAACATATTCATGGTTTGTAGAAATGTGCAATGCCAAGATTGTATTCTGATGACTGGGCTGAAATAACACATGAGAAGCCTCTTTTTTTAGCTTTAACAGATGATCCTTCACCTAACTGAAGACAGTAACTCGTAACCACCAATTATTGTCTGTATTTTACTGAATAAATGACAATTTCACTCCCTCTCATGGTGCTGGATGAAAAGTCAGAGGATGATCAAAGTCAGTAGAATACAGCTTCTGTCAACCATGAATGTCATGTGATTACACTTAATCAAACAGGGACATTAATTCAGTAGTGCTTGGTTTGGTGGTTCATGTCCACATACCCACCAATTCTCTAGACAAATCATGAACTACACCAAAAACAGCAGTGTACTGTAGAGCTCCCTACGGCTCATAGTGTAGACAACCATAGATGAGCTCCTTCATTGAATATTCATTGACTGTTTTTAAACCATAACCCATACTGAGGCATGTTACTGTAGAAAGCACATGTTTTGAAATGCAGGGCCAGTTGGGCAAATGGATCCAGTTAAGTGGCTGGAAGCACTAAAGAGCAGACTGTGGTTGACTAGGCAGCTCCCAGAACGACTGTTGAGTGACTGGTGATCAACAGTTCCTACAGACACAGTCTCTGGTGGTCACTTTCTGCTATGACACTGTAAAACATTAAGAAATAGCATTTATTACACCCTGATGTCCCTGAACCATAACAAAGCAGGATTCTGGGATTGATTATATAATTAAACTGGGATGCAGCTTGAAAGAGAATAGATGAGCCTGATTAGGCTTTAAATGGTTAACCAATTTTCAATTGCCCACATTTATGATTACTCAGCTGCCAACTGAATAGTGATTTCAGCAGGGAGCCATCCCATCAGCCACCTAACAATGTCTCAATGACACTGTCTCAACTGCTGTTAAGAGCCAATCAATAAACTGATTGGCAGCAGCGGTAGCCTGAAGGTTAGATTACGCTGGTTTATTGTCATGACCAGTCTTTCTGTGACACCGAGGTAACACTGGTCGCATGCTGCAGGAAGTACACTCAGCTCAAGTAACGCCACATATGATAAGATAAAAATCAGAATTCTAGCATGCATGTATCATCTGTGCTCACTCTCATGAAACAAAAAAATATCTATTTAAATCATTACCAATCAAACTACTCTGATCACACTTGTTGTTAAGATGCCTTTGGTGCCTCCAGAATAAAAGATGTATTTTATTAGTGCAACAAATTGCTGTTGTTTTAAGACACAGCAGTGGAAGTCTGCAATTAAACACCTAAAGCTGTTCACCAAATTTAATCCCACATGAGATACACACTTGAACTTCATTCAAGATTTATAACATTAAACTGTCACAAACCTAATTTGGCTTAATATGAAAGGATGGCTTGCAGCTCATTTGTGCTACTGGTAAGATTTGCTCAAATATTTTAAGGCGTCAGACCCAGCAACCTTTGGATGGTTTATACAGTCCGACCCCACAACAGGTCAGACAACGACAAAAGAAAGGTTTACTGTTACAAATTGATTTTAAAGAGGTCAAATTAACAATGAATGAGACTTTAAATTTCACCCGTATAATTTGAAAATGCCCTGCTCCACATTTCAGTGTATTGACGGCGCACTGGGATTTTATTTCCCTTGCTGGGAAACATTTTTTGACTTCACCCCTCCTGCTCCAGGGACTCAAACCACAGACCTACCAGTTTCTGCTCCAACAGACCACATTCAAGCTTATCAGTGCCCTGCAGAAACCCCATATCTCCTTTTTTGTCTTTATGGCACTGGGAGCTGATATTGTCCATCAGATGTTTGCAGACGCATCAATACACTGCTGTCAACTCCTCAAGCTCATATCAGTGGCAACAATGACTTACAAAAAAATATCTACATTATAAATCTGAAGGGGCCACTGTTGCTGTAGTTGTAGACCATGCAACTTTGCCTTTCATTGTCACAACAACAATATCTATATATATATATATGATTATCACACCTTGCAAAACAGTTGAAGAACACTGATGTGATGTTATTGGCAAGCTGCAAAAAGGAAACCATCACTGTCTCCCTAAATCTTATTTGGGGAGAAAAATCAATGTTGTACCTTTTTTATGTTCATGAAATGCTACCCATTCACAATCTGTATGGATTTATTCCTCCCTGCCCCTCCTCTCCTCTTTGGTCTCTTCTACCCCTCAACCGTTTACAATATTCTGTATAAGAGCAGAAACAGTCGGTAGCTCTCATTCTTTTTAGACTTCATCCTCTGTCACACGGAGAAACACCTTCTCAGAAACCAGAGTAGAGATGGTGGAGAAGGAAGGAAGGAGGGAGGGAGGGATGTGATATATGTCTGGTTTTACGGTGGTGTACAGTTCCAAATGGGCCAGAAAAGCCGCACTTTCTCCTTTATTTCTTTCACGCTCTAGTTTTATCGACGGTGTGCGGAGTGAATGTTGAGCAGGGACTGCAAGGGGAAGACTCAGAGCACCATCTCTAACAGATAACAGGATGATTCAGTAATGTTATATTTCTGATCCAAAAGCTGTTTTGTATAAGTTTGATGTGCACCGTCCAGCTGAAGGGTGGAGGCTGCCACAGAGCGCGATACGATACAGGGAGTAAGAGGGTTTCCGACAACTTCCATGCACCAGGCTTAGAGTTGTGTCAAGTCATACAGGGTTATTAAAGTAAAGACCGGACGTTAGGTGATTTTTGCTTCAAAATAAAAGCATTGGTAGGTGTTATTCGAGTTTATGAAGCACTGTAACATTGGGTTTGGTAAGGTAAGGTGGGGTCATCACACCCACCTCATTTTATCTCTTTCTCTTGCTGCTCATTCTGTCTTTCTCTTTTATTGATGACACAGGCTGATAGCTATACGGGCAACTTTAAAGGATAAATAATTTGATATAATCAGTCCTCTTAATCATCTAAGTAATTTGTTATTGAGTGATTGTAATTAGAGAGGCACAATAATACTGGTGTGTCATTGATATCAGCCAGTATCAGCTTTAAAATGAACTGTGACAACTGACCAACATGCATTTTCTTATTTTGCACACTGAATGAATATTAGGCCCTATACATTGAAAAGCATTGTATTTCATGTCCCTTGCTGCTAATGGGCCAGCATGATAAGATTATGCATACATAATATGATGTTAATGACACTACAGAAGAGATTTAATGATCACTTAAAAATTAGGTGGGGAAAAATTGGATATATCAATATTGTTGTTTTATATTGGCGTATCGGATATCGGCAAAAAGTTCAATGTCGCGCATCCCCACTTTTAATGACATTATTATTAGATATATGAACTATGTGGTTGCCTCAGTTGTTTGACCAGAAGATTTTTACTCTTGTCTTTATTTTTTGTTTTTTGTTTTTTTGTGAATGTCTGTAATCGCCAGGTACATAGCCTACTAATGCTTGTGGAACCAGAGGAAACCACTGATCAAGACGATTTTAAAGTTTATTTAAAATGCCACCCTTGCCCCAGTTAAAATTCATACATTTGATTAATCCGTTTGGGCACTCTTTAGCCAAACATACTCAAGAAAACAAAAGATAATGGGCGTGGTTGTCTCTCCACTGCATAGCTCCTGATACCTCCACCTTGTTTGGAAGTGTTATAAACATTGTATGGATGAATGAAATCTGATTCAAAACAACATTATCTACAGTTACAAATTTAATCTGCTAGCTTAGTGTCTGATATCCTCTGAGTGGAAGATCACGTCAGTTGTTTCGAGATGTTTTGAGAGTATGTTGCAGACAAAGTTGATTTTATCTTTAGTCTTTATGTCTGAAAAAAAAGGCATTTCAGTGTCACAATGTCTATAAGGGTTGGGGCTTGTGAAAAATTGGTCCACTTCTTACTTCAGTGACAACTGGGCGAAAGGAACGGTCAAAATCTGTATTCACAATCACTTTTCCCATTGGAATGAATAGACTCAGGATGCAGCTAGCCTTCTAAAGGGGCGGGGAAATGGGGAAACACGTGACATTTTTGAAAGAATTCAATCTTGTTTTTGACACATAACATTTAATTAGAAATTGTCCTATGATTAGGTAACAATTGGCCAGCTGATTACCAGCCGATTATGTAATTTAGTGATGCATGGTGATGATTCCTCAATATAGGCTACTGTGAATAATCACTATTCCAAAAAACAACAACATAAGCCTACATACAGTAAACCTGGAGCTTATCACGTGCCCCTCTGGTGTGATATTAGAGCAAAAATAATGAATGAAACAGGTCAGAGATAGCCTACTTTATCTGCAGATTAAATAGAAGTAATACACTGCCTAATATATGGGTTTTATTTTGAAGAATACACCCGGAAGTGGTCGTCTCTGATTGGCTCCAGCCTGACCGTGTCCATTCCGCTGCGCTATATGGATTAACGGTGCGGGAGAAGCGACCGGCGAGGAGGACTGAGGATCAGCGGGACTGTACCGTTAACATTTCGGTGTCAGTGACCGGAAGACAGCTCTACTGGCACGTTGCCTCGTCTTTATTTTATTTTATTCTGTTTTTTCTCTTCTCTTTTCTGACTCCAGACTGCAGAGGAGACGCACAGAGTCGAGTTGACACAGGTTGAGCGACATAGGCAGAGACTCGGAGACGGAGAGAGGGAGCCGGAGGGAGAGCTGGGAGCTCGCGACTGTCAAGTGAATATCCAAAAACCCGTTGTTCCAAAGCTTTAACGGTCTCCAACAAGCCAGGAAAGGTGCTAATGTGGATTTTTAGGAGTGTTTAACAAACTCTGCCCAACCTGAGGGAGATTTTCACTGGAATAATTAGACTTTTCCGCCCTTTTTTGTGCCTTGGATATTTTTTTTTCTTGTAGTGGAATTCTTCCTGTTTTACCTGCACGAGGACAGCGACCGGCGGGAAAGGAGTGCGGAGAGGAGGCAGTGCCGAGAAGAAGAAGGAGAAAAAGAGAAGAAAAGAAGCGGTTGAAGGGGAGGAGGGAGGGGGGGACCATTTCAGCTTCTCTCGGATGGGATTCTTCCCTCAGCCCGCGGATGGAGGGATGAAACCGGGAGGAAAAGACGGGGAGAGAGAGAAAGAGAGAGGAGGGAGAAGAGGAGGATGTAGTCGTCGGGCGCTGTGAGAATGCAAAACGGACGCACCCCTCTGGAAGAAAGGATTGAACTATAAACCCATACGGAATTTACAGCCACCCAAAGGATATCACACCTATTTACCTCGACACACACATATATGGGGCATATTCTCTTCTCTGGAAGCTATTTGTGTGGAGTTACAACTATAAGCAGCACTATCCTTTGAATTATGGGATTTGGAATTGCGCCCTGACACTCGGAGAACGAAGGAGCAGTCACATCCGGAGAGAGGTAAAGTTTAAACTCTTTATTATCTCTTCTATACGTGCGGAATGTGGGCTCAGTTTCCTCTTCCTCCCCTTGTCTATCTGCTTCTTCCAATTCTTTCTTTCTGACTGCGTCTGTGGGAGCAGAGGAATGGTGGTGGCTGAGGGGGATAAGGGGGCAGAGGTAGAGTTATTTCGAGATTCCCTTGTATAGACATGAAGTCTGGATGCTGAGATGGGGCGGGGGGAGCCAGGGAGGGTGTATGTGGAATTGCAGGCAGGTGGAAAACGAGCAGTGAGAACATTGCAAGGTCACAATAGAGCCCGGTGTAAGTTATAGCAGCTCCGCGTGTGTGTTTGTGGGCGCCCTCGCGCTTGTTGGACCCAGACGTGGGCTATAGTTTCAGTGGGCAACATTTCAAGCAGCTCTGCGCCCGGTTTGTGTGCTGTGAATAAACGCGAGTGTGTGTGTGTGTGTGTGTGTGTGTGTGTGTGTGTGTGAGTGGACGCGCGCGCACGCATTAGCGCGTGCTTGGGCCGCCAGTGTGAGAAGAGAACTTGTGTGTTTGTGTGAGCGCGCGCGCGGCGTGTCTTCAGCAACGGTGCACCCACTTCAGTGTTCGCGTGGGCTTTGGGATAATTTTAGCATGACTCTAAGGATAGCTGGTTATTAAGGAGCACGCGCGCACAATACTGCGCCTCGGCCGCTGTCTGTGCGCCACACTGTGCACCTGTACCTCGACAGAGACAGAGGAGGGGGTGCAGGCAGTGTGTGTGTGGAAAGAGAGTGTGTCCTGTGTCTGTGTGTGAGCCATTTTACAGGAACATATAGTTAACCTAGGCGACCGTGAACTCACATTTTGGATTCGCAAAACAGCACGCGCAGGCTATGCATCTGTGTTTGTGCGCTGTGCGTGTGTGCGCGTGCGCAGACGAACCCTAGCCCCATACCTTGTTGGCACGCAGCTTCATCATAATGGAGCTTTCGCATGTGTTCACGTGTGTGTGTGTGTGTGTGTGTGTGTGTGTGTGTTAGACTCACGTTCTTGACTTGTGTGTGTGCACGCGCGTGTCCTGACGCACAATACTGGATATGTGACACCAGTGGACGGTATAGGGTCCAGTACATTGCAGATCAATTGAACGCTACTATCATTTAAAAGCAGGTGATTTCTAATGTGTTTCAGTCAGTGTTAGTCATTCAGCATTCTCCTGCACACTGTGAATATGTGTAATTTGCTATCAATACTAATCTGCATACTCACATGTTGCAGGGAAACTTATTAAAGGCTCCTTATTTGTGTTTTTATTCCATATTGCAAGCTATCATATATATTTCTCCCCTTATCAGCACACACACTTTGATTTAACAAAGTATTGTTGCCTATTTTGAAGGACTGGCATTTTTATTTTGGCTGTTCTCTTTGTGATAGTGGAAGCATATTCTGAGCCTTCCTCGCAGCAAGGGGGTATGGTTACTGTAAACATCCTGGTGGGGCAGGATGGATTTAGCATCTAGGAAGACATACCGTACAGGTGAGGTGACCATTCACTCTCCTTTTTAGTTAAAATAAATGGTAAAAACAAACAAAACCACCCATGTGTCTTAAAAAAACACCTGTCACTGCCATATTTCCACTATATGTAAACCTGGTTGTCTCAGCCTATATCAGTACCAAACATCTCAAAGGGATCTGACTTTATATATTCATACATTTTTATTTCAGTGTTCAGTGGTTGGAAGGTTTGATATTGCCTCCAGCACTCAGTATGAAATTGGATCCCCCCCAAAATGGAAGCCTTTCACAAACATAGAAAAAAATGTATTGATTCTTTGTTTCATGAAGTGGGATTCTGGGTTTTGGATTTCGCTTGGTCCTTTGGCTGAGATGCATTCATTATGGGAGAGATAATACACGAAACATAGCAAGGGCTTCAGAAACAAGACGTCAATCCACAATCAATGAAATAAACCTTGTGTTTGTGGGCATGCTAGAATGTAGTGTGTCCATGTATGATATTGCTGACTGTGATCTGAGCTGACTGACCATGCTGTGCCAATGTATTTGAATTTTAGTGGTGACTCTTTGCACTATCATGGTCTTCTACAAAAGCTAACACCACCTTAAAGTGTGTTGCACGTGCACTGAAAACAGTGACATCTACTTTCATACCAGTGCACATCAAAGTGGGTTCTGCTGACAGAGTTCCTTGCAAAGAGTTTTACGGGGTCCTCAGCAAATGATGAGTTATTTAATTTAATTATAATGTGCGGTAAATTAGTAGAAATTATTTCAAAATACAAATTACCATTTTAATTTTCCAATGAGGGTTTGTGGAGTTTAAAGACTCTCTAATTGAGGGCTCTGGCATGTCATGACATGTTTTTATTCTCTCCTGTAGCTTTATCTTTTTGCTGGATTGGAGTTTCATGGGTTTGTACCGGTACAGTAGCTCGCATTGATTGATCAAGGCAATAAATTTATGCACACGAGCCACTCATGCTGGTGCTAATGGCCCGTGGATATGGAGGCATTATGCAAATGCATCCCTGGCTCTAGAAAAAGAGTGTGGGTGACTGAGGGAGGGAGAGAAACTGGTGATTTTCAGTCCATTTTAGTTGTGTTTAGTCTCCTATTTATGTCTAAAAGGAGCGGTTTGCTGTGCCATTAGGTTCAGGATGAATGGCAACGCATTTGTGTTACAGATTGTGTTTTGAGTTCTTACCGGGGAATGTAAGATGGTGAGGAAGGAGGTTGTATTTTAAAGCTACTCCTGGCTTTCACTTAGTTATTGAGATTTAATTTGCTGTCGTGGCGTCAGTGCCAAATGAAGCCCATTTAACGTGTGCAGAACTTACGGATAAACATCTGCTCCTCTGCATTACAGCCTTCTTGATAATGCAAGGTAACTTCCCATTCCATTATGACATAGGTGAGTCTGAAGCAATATCTCTCTTGTCCTCTATTTTCCCCCTCGCTACTCATTATTTTTTGTCTCTCTTTCACCCCTACAACCCTCCAAGAAAAGAAAAAAATGTGTAAGCTCTTATCAGGCACTAGTACAGGGGAGTAAAGAGGCTGTAAGGAGTGTTCTTTATTCTTTATAGGGGCAGGGGGGATTTTTATTATGCCCGTCTTTCTTCTTGCCCTCTGTTTATCTCTCTGCAACTCTCCCTCTCTCTTCCTCTCGCTGTTTAGCTATCTGACAGAGGGCTGCAGGATCCTGTGGAGTGGGTGGTGGAGCTCTAATTCAATTTATTCTACTGCTCAGAGACAGACAGAGAGCAGGCCAGAGAGAGAGAGAGAGGGAGAGAGAAAGAGAGGTGGTGAGAAAAGAGAGATAGCAGAGGGATGGAGACCACAGATGTTAGGGAACATTTCCTATTAGCAGTGGAGAGGCAGGCCTTATAGGAAGCTGACCTGACGCTGTGACATCTGGATTGATTCTGCGGGTGACTGGAATTATGTGTGTGTGTGAGAGTGTGGTTGTTATCAGCTAAAACAATATGTCTTTAAAATGCCATCAGTGAGTCTGAAGGGAGAGAACAAAGACAAACACTTTTTTAGCTCTCTATTACTCACCCAACAACCAGCTGGAATACAAATGATTGACGACTCAGATTGAACCTTTCAATGTCCAAGTCCAAAGTCTTACTCTGGAAACAAGCTGCAAAGAACCTGTTTTGGGAGTAGTATGCCATATTCATACTCATAAGGATCACTTTCAGTGATAAAGCAGATAATGAACCAACTCATTAGTTGACTCATTCACTGATACAGACCCAAGTTATCATTGCTCTCTAAGGTTTTAGAAAAATATTGCATGGGAAATTAGTTCTTTTAAGACTAGAGTTGACAGTTTGACACCTTCTAATGTGGTTTCAAATGGCTCCTCATAAACAGAAACCTCAGGTTTTATTGCATCTTAAAATGGCTGTTGAAAACATGAACTATGGTTGAGCAGTCTGGCAGTGAATGAATTTGTCAATCATCTAAGATTTTGACATTAAGAGCATTTTTGTAAGGGTGTAAATGGCAAGTTTCATCACGATATGATATGATATGATATGATATTAGCTCTTTGGTCAACAACATGATACTTGCTGATATCACAAAGTCTGCCACGATACAATTTCAGTTTGTTTCAATTCAGGGCCCAGCGATCAATATGACACAATATTAGTAAACTGTCATTGTCAAATCCTCGTTGCCTATTTCCTGGCTACCTACCATTGTGTGTCTGGCGCTAGGTTGCTAGCACTGTTTGAATGTTTAGGACAGAGGTGTGCATGGATGCAAATGGTGAAACAGGCATGCCATGGAAATTTTAAAATAAATGCTAGGGATGCAAGATAATGTTGGCACATCGTTGGTATCGGCGGATACTGGCTTTTAAATTGCCATTTTCTTACTTTGCACAATGAATTAATATTACATACACCGAAAAGAATTGGATCTTAGGGTCTCCATCTGCTGGTGGGCCATCACGATAAGAGCATGCATGCATAATATGATGGTAATTCCACTACAGAAGAGACTTGATGATCACTAAAATTAGTTGGGGAAAGTCGATATATTGATATCTGTATCGGTTTTCAGCCAAATGAGTTGTAATATGCATATTGGATATTGGCAAAAAATCCAATATCCTGCATCTTAATTAAGGCGTATCTTAAAGATGATGATATGCATCGATGTTTTCACCACTTCTAAGTGGAGAAGAGAAGATAAAGTTATCCCAGATCTTTACGGTACAGAGTTTCTCCTCCTCTGTGCTGCTGCATCTTAGATCCTAACTCTCAAACTGAGCTTGCACAGTGATAGCAGTGTGTGCATGTGCTTCTGCTAAGTGCCTAAAATTGGAAAAATCAGTTGTTGTGCCCATGACTCCCACTTCTCTCACACCTCTCAATGAGCCTATAAACATGACCTAAGTGTTGCAAAGGTGTTTGCAACCAAATTAAAGTCCAAGTTGTCAATTTTATAACATATTCAGAATCAAAGATATGCTTTTATTTCACTG